TTCATTTTTCGCTTCGGATTCCTGCGCGCGGATGTAAATTTCGCAGAAAATCCGCAGCGTGGCCGTTGCAGAAATGCAAATGAAGAGCGGCTTTTGGCGGAGCATCGTGCGGGAGGATCATGGAGACGGTTCGCGAGCGAAATTCGACGGGGCCGTTTATAATTAACGAATGAAAAGGGCCCGAGGCCGCGCGGGTCGTGTTGGTTTCATTCGCGCGGTTCAACCACGTCGCCCGTGAACCGTCTTCACGAACAAAAGGATCACAAACAACAGGCTCCAACGTCAGATAAACGACCGAAATTGTCGAGAAATCCTTGAAGCGCGAAACGAATGTCTCGCTCCAGTTCCCAATCATCCACCGGCCGGGCAATGTTCTGTATTGGGGAACAAAATCTGTTGATCGTGTGCCGCGCGCCGGATAGAACGCGTTGAATCGCCCCGCGACACGGTCCACGGAATAAAATAACAATTAGCGGGGGATACTTTTCACCTGCGGAGTCCGCGCCGGCCACCGATCGATCCCCCCGGCCCTGTTTCTATTCAGCGTTTTGTTGAATGGAGGCCTCGGCCGATTGATGGATCGTTAATCAATTTGTTTACTCGGTCGAGCGATGCTTGCTAGAATGTTGGGACTCGTGATTCCTAATGCTGCCTGTCCACGCGAAACTAATTGACTCCGCTCGCAACCGGGTTCATGTTTCGGTGGTCAGAGACTCGTGTCGTAAGTAGACTTGTATATATATACAAGTATAATAATATATATATATACATATATACATATGTATATAACAAAAATTAATAGGTCAAATGCAAAATTGTAAAGACAAAATTTATGGACATCGTTATATTATTTTCAATTTATTACAGTCATTAATAGAGGGAAGACTTTTTTTTCGTCTAACTTATACTTCTCACAATTAATTTACAAGGGATGATCCCCGACATGGAAACTCAACAAATTCTGAAACTTTTGGGATATATGGAGCATATTATAGATATGTATTACACAATTTATTTTGTTAGCATAAATTCACTTTAAGGGATGGAAATCAACCCCCGAATATTCGGCTATTTTTTACTTCATTGCTATAATTCGCAAACCGTACAAGACAGGAAAGAAATCTTTAAAAAAAATCTACCAATTATTCAGATTAATTATTAACTATCATAATAGCTTCAGTGAATCATAATCAGAAAAAGTAATCATTATGTGATCAATGATTATTGTGTTAATCGTGACCAAGGATTACATTTATTTTGATTACCTGATTTATCCATTAATAATGATCGTTTGATTGCTCGGTATTCGTAATCATTAATCAGATTCCTTTTTAACCAGCTCTCTAGAAGATTAATGGTAGTCCCGACGCTTCTGCATTCCAGCTTCTACGAACGCGAAATGAAATTCGCATTTCTGATGAAAAAATGTTCCAGAAAGAGGACAAGTTACCCTCGTCGTAGATGCAACATAAACGTAGATTTCTCGTTCGAAAATAACCCCGTCCATCCGATTGATCTCTCTCTCTCCCCTCGTGGCCAGAAATATCTGCCACTGTTTTCGGAGACGACACGACAAAAAATCCATCGGCTGATGGATCACGCAAAATACAATTCACTCAAGCGCGAAACGTTCGCGTACATCCAGCAATGGGGAGGAACTCGTGAAAGATATTAGTCGGACCGCGTTTGCCACGGATGTAATCCACTTAATTCTTTCGCGGATATTTGTACGCCAGACAACGGAATTATTAATCGGCGGAAACATGCCTGTTTTGAGGGATTACAGCACGAGAGGTTCGTCGTCGTTAAGGATTCATCGCTGGACGAAAATGGTCGGTCGCATGACCAACCTCGTTACCCCCCATCTCGGAAGAATACAGCTCGCCAGACAAAATTGTGTCGATACATTTTCCATGAAGCCGCCGTGTTCGACACAGTCCCTTGTTAGACAGCGACAGAGAAATAATTGATGCACGTCCCTCCGCGCGGGGCTCCCCTGGATATTACATCGAGATATCAATAGTTGTCGGCGTCCCGTCGACGCCGGGGAAGATGTGCTAATCAACGAGCTTTTATTCTTTCGTTTTCGCAATTTCGCAGAGAAAACAATATTCTATTCCGCCTGACTTGGGAAATTTATTCTCAACCTTTGTCTGTTCGTTGCGCCAATAACACACACTTTTTAGCGCAGTTGGAAGCCAAATGCTGGCAATCTTTTAGAGAAAATTTTTAAAATACATATTTTTATAAGCATTTTTTACGCTAACTTGAATCGTGTGGAAATTAATTCTCAAACTTCCGTTTTTCTTTTTTTCTTTTTTATTAAATAGAATTATATTTTTGTGCAAAAATTGTCGGATGTAGAATCCGTACACAGTTTTTTGCAACATCACGTGCACAAGGCACAGTAAAAATTTCAGCGTGGGAATTTAATTTTTGTTCGAGTTATTTTAACTGTATTTTTCCTTTAACTGTATTTATTCATACATGACGCAGGTCGGATATGAAAATACTTCGTCGTCTCTACTGTCTAACTTTGACCTTTTGTCTTCGAAGAAATTATTACGATGGAAAGAGTTCGAATCATTCTAACTGCGAAGAAAATGGATTAAAAAATTAATAATACGCGCTAATTCGTGAAATACGCTAAGGCGGTAGCACATAAAAAGGAAATCAATTTTAATTTAATTATAAAAATTGCATAAAGTAAGCCGGAAGGTCGATGTTCAACCTAGTTGCACATTTATTTACCAGATCGCTAGATCGCGGATTTTATGCAGTTACGGTAACAATGTGCGATAAAAGGAGCGCATAAAAATTTATTTGCAGCCTCCTCTTCGGTTGCAATCGCCCTAACAATATGACACTTTTCAACGACGTAAAACTGCTTCACGTTAGTACCTCGTTTATTCGGATACTGATATTCGGATAACTGAAGTGTTCCGATAATAGAGATCATGTTTCTATTCATTCGGATAATCGAGGCCGCGGATCGGATAACTGAGGATCAAATGTTTGTGACGGGTAACACGAGAAAACAGATACAAAAGATCGGAGACAACATCGTTCGAGATATCAAATGATTTTCATAATTTTCACTATTATTATTACTTATTACTACTACTTATTATTACTATTATTAATTTTCACTATTATTATTCACTATTATTTATTTCGCTCGTTATTCCTAAGGATTATTATGTCAATAAGAATGAACTGTTTCGTTAATTATTCCGTTTCGCAATAGAACTATGTACTTACGTACAAAAATATGTATTCGTATAACCGAGAATATGCTCGACGGATAATATGCTTCGAATAATAAAGTTTCAATTGCAGAGTTCGTATATTTGCGGTAGGACGTTAATTCGTTCGAATAAACAAGGCGCGTAAAAACGAGGTTCTCCCCGTATTTTCATATTCTAAAATCGAACACCGTCCGAAAGAGAAATATTATTAAAATAGCTTGCTCGATGATCGAACGTTCGCAAACGTCCGAGGCATTTTTCTGTCTACTGCTCGTTTCGATCAACGACGAGGGGGTGGATTTCAGCATCGGCCGCGTTTACGTCAGCTTCGTGTAACGCTGTTTACCAGTGTAATAGCCTCGCGCGAGTCCCACGCTGAAAATAAATCACGATCAACGTAGATAGTCCACCCGTTCGATAGCAATGCAACGAAGCCGCAGCCTCCATTCCATTCAAATTCATAAGCGCACGACCGGCGATCCCACCCCCGCGTACGACCTGCGGTAGGTCAAAGTTGATGCGATCGTGTGTGCCGGCCAGTAACGACGAACCGATCGAAAGGCAACGATCTCTCCCGTTATCTGGAGGACGCAGCCCAACAGCTCGTCGTATTATTGAGTTGCAGCGGCCGGTCGTCCGAGCGGACACGTCCGCGATAATGGCCCCTAAAGGGCCACCGAGCGTATCGTTGCCCGGCGTCGATCGATTCCCTGGCGCCACGCACAAAGATCACCATGCCAAAGGACCAAATTAACATTTCGAGAACGTGCAGATGATAACGTCCCTGGCGAACTACGTACCAGCTCTGGAATTACGCCGACGCTTCCAGAACGATGAGTTCCCTTCATAGCTTCCCTTCGACCGAGCTTCCCTTCGAATCGTCTCTACAGATCACCGATCAAAAAATCCCTCTCTCCTAGATTCACTCGAATCGAGTCTGCTTTTTGAACTTTCTTCTTCCTCTTGCGAAGGAAAAGTTCTTTCATTTAGGAAGACTGAGATGAAACGCTCAAGCTGCTGACATATATTTCTTTTTAAGAATTTCAAGACTGAATTTATTTAGATTATCTTGCTGCTTTAATTGCAATGAGCGCTTCAAGAGAGAAATTTATTCAATTATTTCCAAGGAATGAGTCCTCATGATTTCAACGATTTTTAAATAGGAAATGTGGAGCCGGTAATTTTGATCGGCACAATAGATGTAGCGTTAATGGAGACGATTTTATAAAGAATGCCCCAAAATTATGGTACTTCCGGGAAACGAGGAATTCCTGAGGTTATCTGAAGTAACTTTTTCCTTAGCGAAAATACAATTCGCGGCTTTGTTTTAGAGTTATTAACAAAAAACACTGACCAATGCCTCGCGTCAGTTGATTTCGCCTCTCATTGGTCACTGTTTTTTCGTTAATAACTCGCAAACGAAACGGCAAATTGCATTTGCGCTAAGGAAAAAGTTACTTCAAATGGTTTGAGGAATCCCTCATTTCTCGGAAGTACTGTAATTTTGGGACATCCTGTACATCAATCGAGTTTCTAGTTTATTTTTGCTACAAGAACTATTTGAATGAATATCGATGATTGAACATCGTGACAACGATCAGGCCGATGTTATTGATAGGAAAGCGATCTTCTCTGAGGCAACACAGCGACGTTACAATTCGCAGAATATCGCAGTTGAATCGCACAAATTGTCCCGAGTACAAAATGTCCACCGGCACTCAAAAGAGGGTGGGTCATTTATATCTCTATTGATTAGTTCTCGTTGCGGGAGTCGCTGTAATTTTCTATAGTGATACACAAGGTTTCAGTAAGCGAGAAGCGGTCGTGCACAGGGGGTCGAATCAATATGCACCGATGCAGCCTGCACCGTTGCAGCATGCACCGATGGAATTGAATAGATGGAGTGTCCAATTATCGTATCGCTCGAATCGAGTGGTATTTATAAACATCGGCAATTCCTTTTCGTCTTATATCTGCGACACTTGGCCCCGGCGTGACATTTCCGCCAAAGCTGACCCGTCCTCCGCAGTTTTCGCGTGTAATTCCGTTCCTTCGGTTTCGAAGTATCTCTTCGTTTCACATAGCAACGACTTGAACATTTCTGCGGCCGATTTTTCGTTCGCCCTTTCGCCGTTCCTAAAATTCATCTCGCAGTTTCCCTGAAGTACGCTTGAAAGCACGCTTTGCATATTCTTCGAGGCAGTCCTCAAGTACCCGAAGAGTACCCCTTAGAATATTCTTACCTTCTCCATGCCGGCCGAAGAATATCCTCTTTAAATATTCATTGGACGCTCAAGCGTTCTTCGTAGAATTTTCCAAAATTCGGGAGCCGTTCTTCGCTATTCTCAACCTTTTTCATAAATCCTCGAGGTGTTTGTAAAATCTCCACGCGTTCTTCAAAATGTCGAAAACTTTAGTCAGCTTGCTCCTTCCTTTAAATACATTTTTAATGTTATAACACCTTCCGAGATATCTTTACTGTAAACCTGAACCGTGCAAAGTTTCATGATCGAAGAAGCTGTAAAAATTCGCTTTCGAGGGCTTTTGAAATTTTTATACTACCCTTAATGGAGAGATGGAATCGATGATCCCCCGTAATCTCGAAGCAGAGGAATTAGCTTTCGTCGACTGTGTCATCGATATACGTGTCTGGGTCGCGAAGGCATGGTTAAAAATTAACAAGGCACATCCGATCCCGTTTGCAACCCTTACGTGACGCCCCGCCGGCTCTGTTTATTTCGACGAACTCTATGCATGGCTAACTAACCTTTCGATACCTTCCATCACCATTCCTGGAATGATACTTTGTCTGCAATAAATATTTACAGTTGTTCGATATCACGAAAATATGAAATTCATCGATGCGAAACCGTGAGCATTTATATTCAACGAAAATTGCATTCGTCGGGTGAGAAGATTGTAAAATAAACAATTTGGTGCCGGTGGTAATATTTCAAATAAAAATCATTTTTTCCCCAGCGAACAGGCTATATGTATACTTTATCCGCGAATGGCAGGATTCGTTTAATTAAAAAATTTGATTCAGACCGGAGGATTGAACTCCGTCAAAGAAAAAGTCACGGGATAATTGATCGTCGCAGTTAAACGAAATCCGATCACGGCCGAATGATTTTCAAAGAAAAGATAATCCAGCTGGATCTGAAAGCAGCGCAGTCCCATTATCCATGCCGAAATCCGCATTCATCGATGGGAAATGATACAGGAACAATGGGAGGACCGATTCGACCGTATGAATTATTATTGCACATCTTGTCGAACGTATTAATGGCTCTGTTAATTAATTTCGTTCGTTCGATCGACGGACGGCCGACAAATTATATATAATTCTCGTAAGTGTCCCGTCGAATGGAAGACCTCAATTTTCCGAAATTGTTCGCGCGGAATTAATTTCCCGCGGGATTCAATTACAATAACCGTGGCGGCCGATTATTAGATCGCGGACTAATCCTCGCGTTTGACATTAATTAATCGATTTTAAAATTACAATTTGCAGAATTACATCGCCCGGCTGACGTGGAACAACGATAATTGCAATGGACTGGAAAATATTTTCTGCGGTACAGCTGTCGCGAAAATTACAAGGCTCGAGGGACAAGAATTAATATGTCGGAATTAAATGCGCACGTTTGATAACGTTAAACCACCATTTGCAGTACAATCGGGGAACGCTTTGCAACGTTAACCGCGTGACAGATTGCGCAACGCGGGAGGCATCGTTAAAATGTTCGCAAAAATAATGAAACTTTCTCGCGTCGATTGGAAATCCGCCCGTTTCTCGGCTTCGATGAACGATTTATTGTTCACGTTTCAATTCCGCAGCATCCCCTGATCAGAGGAAATGTTTCCTCGCGATCTGTTTTCCCCGAATATCGACATTATAATTTCTAGAACTTCATAAAATCTATCCATCTTAATTTTCTATTTTAATTCTGATTTTACTATTTTATTTTATTTAATTATTAATTTTCTATCCCTTTAATTCTCTGCAGAAACTCAACATAATAATAATAATAATAATAATAATAATAATGAAACTAGAAACAATATGATTACAATATATAAAGCAAACACAGACTAAACATTCCATTTTCTGATAATATTATATAATTAACATAATATTGATTGCGAATTGTTAAAATTGATCAATTTGGCAACACCAGGGTTGTTTAATCTGTCACGTGTAAGTCCATGCAGTTTAACATTATTAAATATATCGTGCTAGAAATGAAATGTATAAGTAAGCAATTAATCAACGAATGAAGCTAGTTCGCAAGAAATGATTTTTGCTAATTTTCGCAATTTCTATCAGGTCAAACGTAGCGCGTGCTGTCGCTCGAAGAACACGGAGCAACGGAAATCCCTTCGTAAACAAAGGAAATCGCCTCGGATAAGGGCGAAAGGGGGGCGAGACCCGGGTAGACAGGGAAAAAGTCGGTGTAATGAAAGTCGAGGAAGGTGGGAAAGAAAAATGACGGAGCAGAAAAACCTGTTTAACTTTCTAGACGGCGCGGCGTGAGGAAGAAAAAGGAACGAATAAATATCGAGAGCAGGATCCGGCTGCGGTGTGTTTACCGACGTAGAATGCCAGGGAAATTAGAAAACACTGTGACAGAGAACTTTAATAGCATCCGATTATTAAAAAGAGCTTCGGAATCTGCCGTAAGGATGGAACTCCGATTGCTAATTAGAAGGCAGATAAGTTCCAGGCGGCTTTTGCATTGAAACTTGCGTCTGCGAAAATTCTCGAAATAGAAATGAACTTTTCAGTTGGAAAATTACTTATTGCTCGCTACCAACGATATCGGCTAATTAATAATCGAATAGGTTTCTGGGACACTCGGAGACAATTTGTTTAATACTATGATTGCTGTACCAACAATCTCAGAATCTTCATAAAATTGAAGTATTTTAGTTAACCAAATTGAAATTGGAAAGGTAAATTGTATAACAACAGTCGCACGTGTTGCATATCCTAATAAAAATAAGAAGGTGAAATAGATTCACGTAAAAATTACTTTTCAAATCCGAGCAAATCACACTCCGTCCTGCATATATGACAATCAGAATGTTAATTTCTCGAATTTTTACTTCAAATTCCCTCTTCGTTGAAATTATTCATATAAATTCTACAGTGAAAATATGAATCGTAAGTAGGCATCAAATTTTGTTATTCCCTTATTTTGTTTATTTTTGAATAAAAAAAACTTTGATGTGATATCGTGTTCCTCGATAAATATAAAATTAATTATGCCCGACAACAAACCGATGGCACAGCAATTGGTCACTGGACATTAATTGGCTCCACTATTCTATAAATTTTGTAGTTTGTGGAGCAATTATGAATGGAAAACAGAGCCAAAGATAATCCTACCTGGCTATTGCGGGGTGTTTTATTGACCCGTGTACAGGAGGATTATACATTCAGGTTGGTATCAGTTGTAGAACCTATTTTGGTGGATCTATAAGCGAGGGATCACCCTTTGACCCAGCACGTGGCGCCAAGAAAGGTGACCAAAATTAAATATATGCCGAGCTCGTGCCGCACCTGCGAAACTACATCGATGGAAGCTTAAACATATGCTAAGACTTAAACGTGCAAAATCAAAGCCTTCTCGAGTTTACACAAAACCCCCGACGAACCTAGTTTTGCAAGAGAGAATCCTTTACCTTCAATTTTCCTTTACGACTCCAGGAGATCGAGATTTCGTTTACACTGCTTTCCTTAGTTAAATTGTCCTGATTAACGTTTCTGATCGTCCAATAATTAAAGCTTTGAATTAATAAAATCCTTTTTATATAAGTGAAAATAAATACATGGAATTACATTTGGAACTGTATGGAGTATGTAGAATATACTTTTATATTTTCAAAAATCCTGAAAAATGGCAAATTAGTAGATAAGATATTTTATCTAAGGGCGGAAGAACATCGATTGGCTGTTCATACGTCTAATTCGAAATTAGACTGTACAAGTATCACGCGAACTATCCCAATCGATCGCGTCCCTCGCAAAAGCTCGCCTTAAAAAGATAAGCTTGATTAAAATTGGCAAATCCCGAGTCGCAATCCGGGCCGACTGAAAAGGTGAATAAAGAGCGGCAGGAACGAAACCCGGAAGAAAAGCCTACGTGAAAAACGGAGCAAGAGAAGGGCGATGGAGTGAAATATTGAGGTCAGTATCAGTTGTAGAACCTATCTCGGCGAATCTGTAAACGAGGGATCACCCTTTGAGTCGGCACGTGGTGTCTAGATGGTGTCCAAGATTAAATATGTACCAAACTCGTGCCACAGCTGATATCGACGTAAGTTTGTACTTGCGCCAAGCTTGGACACGTAAAATCAAAGCCTTGGGTGCACAAAACCTAATTATGCAAGGGAACTCTCTGCCCCAATATTCCCATCAAACTCGAGGAGGTCGTGACTACAGATATCTGCTAGCAATCGGCTGCTCGTAGATTCGAATTAGGCTACGCAAGTTTCACGGAAACTTTCTCAATCTATATCGCGTGCCCCGCAGAAGCTCGTTTTAAAAAGATAAGCTTATTAAGCCTTATGTCAGTAACCAAAATTTTCGGCGTTGTTTTATAATCTATATAAATATCTATACAAATATCTACATATTTTATAAAATATATCCCGGGTATCCCTACGATCAGTTGCTATATTACGTTACTGTTTTATACACCTTTCACATAATTCCATTTCTCAAACATTCATTTTTATCGATTTTATATTTGTTATCGCAGCAAAATATATTACAGTTCTTAATCGCCTGGAGAATTTCTACTTTCTCCTACACTCCTTATCTCTTTCTCCAGCAAGGGTACTCCGTTATCCAACAAAGGTAATTCCAATTTATCGTCCAGTTTTAGTACTTTTCCGATAACAAAATTGCAGGCTCGAAACAGATATCGATTGGAAATGTGCCGAACAACGACACACTGGCCGGACATTGAAGCATTTTACCGGGGACAAAAAATAATTGAATAGAATGTTGAAAAGGGTGCGCAATTATTGATACAAGGGGTAAAATCGGGCAAAGCCCGGTCGCAACTCGGGCCGGCTGAAAAGATGAATAAAGAGCGACGGGAACGAAACCCGGACGAAAAGCCTTCGGGGGAAAAAGGAGCAAGAGAAGGGCGAGGGGATCCATGGAAGAAGCCGAGGGCGGGGGTGGTCTGATCAAGCAAGAGGACCGTGATAAAGGGGCAGATCGCGTGGGCGGGCAAGAGAATATAGATTGCTCGGTGCAGAGAGAGCGAGAGGACATCAATGGAAAAGACGAAGACGACCGGATGCGGATCGATCCGGAGGACTATTCCGTGGGTGTACCGTGGGCTCGTCTCTCACACCCTTCGCTGTGTTTATCTTTCTCCCTCGAACCGGTGTTCCGTCGATCGGGAACGAAAGAGGAGGATAGATCCCCGAGAGGTCTACGTAACTCGGTTTCGCCCTGGGAAATTGCGATCCACCGCATTAGAATGCTTCGGCTCTGGGTAACATTCGGTCCGAAGGTTTCCAGCAGGTGGATGATGGGCGCCGGCGATTACGGGGCCGGCATTTATCTCGTCATTTCCCGTCGAAAGTGCCGTCAATTTCACGGACAATCGGTGCGCGATCGTTCCGCCGCTGCTCCGCCGGTAAATATCAAAGTTCCTGCTCGAGAGAGTCCGCCATTAGCACAGGGCGGAGCCGTTTCGTTCGAGCCTCTTTGACCTTGCGACCAAGACTCAAGGCCGCCCTCCTTTAAATAGCCGAAAACAAGTTGTATACCCGTTGAGATGATCCTCATTGATTTTATGTTCAGCTTCTAGGGTGAGTTTTCGTCATTCCGGATATCGATCGGAAACGTTGCTAAAAAATAATAAAAATAGTTAACACAATTAAATTTAGATGCGTCGGTGAAAAACGTCGGGATCATTGAGGTCCACGGGTTCGCATCGTTGTCTTGAGAAAATTTTTTTGTCTTCGTCGCTATGTTTACCATCTTAAACCTAATCACTGTAGCTTCTAAAATTTTTCTCTATTATCTCAATAATAAATCCAGATATTTAATTCGGTTTAGATGAAACTTTTATCCGCCCGCCATCTTGTACTGCTTAGTGCAGATTTCAAAAATGGCGCCAAGAAATTCGCAGAGTTATCTAAGACAGGACGGAAGCGGTTCAGGATTTGTAAACGTTTATTACATGAGAACGTCGTATAATTTATCAGTAGAATGAAGTGTAATGATCGTTACAAACGAGCTTAAAAGCTACACGTTACGATTGGTTGAGATTAATCGCCGGCGAATTGGCGTCAAACAGCCCACACGGCCCATCAACGACGATCGCGTGCGGTAACGGTGAGCCGTAACAATGCGCGATCGTGTTCGTTCGATTGGAACGAAGAGATCGACAGCGTTCAATGAAAACCGAACGTTAGAAAGAACGATATGATTTTACTCGCGGATCCTACAGTATTATTTACATCGTGGCCCGTTCGAATTTCGTTCGGATATTATTACGCTTGCTATTGTACAATACGTTACAAGTGAAGTGTGCTTACCAACGATGGTCTTAACAAGGTTTGTGTGTTTGTGTCGCGCCATGATAATTATCGCCAGATGTTCGATTACGACGGAAACCAGTCTCTGAATCCAGCAACACGAATTAAGATCACTTGCAATTAACACCGTAACACTGTTAATTAATCGTAATTTGAGAAAAACGTACGGGAGCTCTCTTTCGTTCAAACTTCCGTAAATGCAACGATCGTCGCCGCTTGGCGGCGCTCGAGTGCAGCTCTAGCAGGGCACGCGAACGTGATTGGCTTGGGTCTACCGTCGGTAAAATCGAACCAATCGGCACTCGTGGTACTCCCACCGTTTTCATGAGCTGTTCAAGTCGCTTGTCGAACGCGGAAGTGCGAATGCTTCGGAGGGAAAATGCAGAGAAATTCTCGAGAAAATCATCGACTCGAAGGAACAGGTAACTATTGCACAGAAAGATTCATGAATACGAGAAAAGCTAAACCCCGTTGTTAGGATTCAGAAAAAGGGAAATGAACAGTTCTGAAACGTTCGAGTGCGTACGGATTTAATTGTTGAGCTCGCGTTCGTACAAAATTTGTCGTTCGTTCCTATCGGGAAGGTCGAATTCACTGAACGCAACCTTTCACCTGTAGATCGTAATTAACACGTTGAATGCCACGCTGGTTTCACAGAAATTGTCCGTGGCGCCACGATGAATTTTCTTTCATGTGATACGTATAATGTTGAAATATTATCTGCAATAGATAAGTTACAGTGTATAACCATGTTTGACATGTTAATTGCGACAAGGGTCACTGTTTGAATCGACGATGGTAATAATACAAAATTTTAGATATTGACGATTGTTTGAAATTATATATATTTCTATCAATTTAGGCGCGCCGGTCCCCGATGGCGTCACCGCCAAGTTAAGTGCCGGTCCCCGATGGCCTCCATGGCATTCAACGTGTTAAAGTCCACGCTGGTGGAGCAATTTGCATTTACCGTTCAGGTCGCTCGAGGGATTCGATGAAAAGTTGTTTCGGTGAAAATGATCCGATACGTTTAGGCAACAGGTAGCGTTAACATTGTTAGCGTGTCCGCGGTTAATGCAAGTGACCATTTCACAACAACTTTCTTTGCTCGACGTAGGATGGAGGAAGAGACAATTGAATTTCGCGCTTGCGCTTGGAGGACACGCGGTTCATCGTGACGGAGGGAAATGGAAGGTGAGAAGAACAATTGGCGGCGTCTAAGGTATGTACTAATCGATTATTTGCATATCTTTTTCTTTGCTCTACTTGATAGTTTCAATAGATTCTTTTCATTCGAAACGACAACGGACATCGAAGCTCACAAATAACGCCTTACATGCTACGGTCAATATCACTGGTGTAAAGAGACGTGACCATGAACCAGGCATAGAATAGATCCACCATTTCGTAGATCTTTCATGTAACATGAGAGCAATCGCAAATAGCATTTTGCTTAGATATTTTATTTAAAAGAATTTTTATAAGATTTAGACTTACTGTTGTATTTGACTTGGTTCAAAATGGACCAATGAACGACTCGTCGCGTGACTGGAAGCGCCACCATGCTTGGCNTGTCGAACGCGGAAGTGCGAATGCTTCGGAGGGAAAATGCAGAGAAATTCTCGAGAAAATCATCGACTCGAAGGAACAGGTAACTATTGCACAGAAAGATTCATGAATACGAGAAAAGCTAAACCCCGTTGTTAGGATTCAGAAAAAGGGAAATGAACAGTTCTGAAACGTTCGAGTGCGTACGGATTTAATTGTTGAGCTCGCGTTCGTACAAAATTTGTCGTTCGTTCCTATCGGGAAGGTCGAATTCACTGAACGCAACCTTTCACCTGTAGATCGTAATTAACACGTTGAATGCCACGCTGGTTTCACAGAAATTGTCCGTGGCGCCACGATGAATTTTCTTTCATGTGATACGTATAATGTTGAAATATTATCTGCAATAGATAAGTTACAGTGTATAACCATGTTTGACATGTTAATTGCGACAAGGGTCACTGTTTGAATCGACGATGGTAATAATACAAAATTTTAGATATTGACGATTGTTTGAAATTATATATATTTCTATCAATTTAGGCGCGCCGGTCCCCGATGGCGTCACCGCCAAGTTAAGTGCCGGTCCCCGATGGCCTCCATGGCATTCAACGTGTTAAAGTCCACGCTGGTGGAGCAATTTGCATTTACCGTTCAGGTCGCTCGAGGGATTCGATGAAAAGTTGTTTCGGTGAAAATGATCCGATACGTTTAGGCAACAGGTAGCGTTAACATTGTTAGCGTGTCCGCGGTTAATGCAAGTGACCATTTCACAACAACTTTCTTTGCTCGACGTAGGATGGAGGAAGAGACAATTGAATTTCGCGCTTGCGCTTGGAGGACACGCGGTTCATCGTGACGGAGGGAAATGGAAGGTGAGAAGAACAATTGGCGGCGTCTAAGGTATGTACTAATCGATTATTTGCATATCTTTTTCTTTGCTCTACTTGATAGTTTCAATAGATTCTTTTCATTCGAAACGACAACGGACATCGAAGCTCACAAATAACGCCTTACATGCTACGGTCAATATCACTGGTGTAAAGAGACGTGACCATGAACCAGGCATAGAATAGATCCACCATTTCGTAGATCTTTCATGTAACATGAGAGCAATCGCAAATAGCATTTTGCTTAGATATTTTATTTAAAAGAATTTTTATAAGATTTAGACTTACTGTTGTATTTGACTTGGTTCAAAATGGACCAATGAACGACTCGTCGCGTGACTGGAAGCGCCACCATGCTTGGCGCCAATTTAAAATTCAAAAGACAACACTTGAATAAGGTCGTATATCCAAATTAAACAACAATTGCTTGTTACTTTTCTTCAGACGCAAATATTACTTTAAATCATGTTATGTGCGCTATATTACTGATTCGTAGAAGATCTATAAACTCCATGGACAATTTTTTTAATATGATAGCACATTTAATTCATTAGTTTAGTATAGTCTCTTTGCAAAATAGACTCCAACAGAGTTAGACAGTTGTGTCTTGGAATAGTTTGATTCACAATTTCAAAAATTTTGAAGCAGACGACTTAAAAAATTAATACTAAGCTTGCATTTTTATAGAGTGGATCTGCTATATAAAATCTGATAGATAAAATGTGGTAGCTCTCTGACACGTATCAACAAGATCTCTTCTGGATAAAATGGTATCAAAGCTTCCTGGGCCCTGTCGATAAAATCTATTCTACTCCCGCCCATGATCGAGACAATTCTCATCGATAAACTCTCTCTCTGTCATTCCTCCTCGTTTTATTTCCATTTTATACAAGCGATTCGTATACAACACGCTATGGGTCTTCAAGGAATCATCGATTCTCACGGTTACATCACTACTATTTACAAAAGGACCCGGTGGTCGAGTGGGGCGGGGGCGAGAAACGTGAAGAAGAAGGAACGATGCGGTGAAGATGCGATTAGAATACTCTATGATGAACACAGGAATGCTTGATTCCGTTTCTCCTTTGCCTAGAGCTAACTCTCGATCACACACCATCTCAGGGGCCTCGTGATCGCGCTGCAATCTCAGCGATCATGAGACCCCCGCGAGGATAAACAGACTGGCCCGAAACGTGGAACGTTTTATTGCTTCGACTCCTAATGCACGCTACACCTAAAATGCTGTGCTCCGGTAGTAAGAAAACGACGAATCGAAACTCGATGACAACGACTTAGAAGAGGGTAGTTGTTCTTAATAGATAAGAGCTTGAACCGCCGCGGGTTCGCGCGACCGATAGAAAAGTTCACGGTGTAATTACATCGCTTCGAATTTGTTCGAGACTCGTCGCGACGACAAAGTCAACGTTCCCTTTACAACAACATTCCGGTGTTTCGATCTCGAACAGAGACACTCTTCTCGTCCGTTTCTACTAGAACCGTGGTTGATCCGTGGTTTCGTTGCAGATTCAGTGCCTGACGTCAGCTTCGTCCGCTGCTTGGTTCTCCAAGGTGCAGGGCCTCCGGAATTCTTGACCTCTCTCGTGCAGCCATTTGTTTGCAACTGCAAGAAAACGATGCGTTAGAATGAACAAGATGTTCTTCTAGACGAGACTGTCAGGCTCGTCTTCGTACCCCATTTGGATCCAGTTAACACCGGGCAGGCCGCGTGCCTGGTCTTGAAGTCACCCTCCCCGTTGGGCTTCAAGTTGTACCAAAACGCGGCGCTGCCCTTCCTGGGCCACAGAGAGATGTTGATGGCGGTGAACACGGTACCACCACCCTGTTCCACGTCGCTCATCTGAAACCGTTCGAAACATTAGTCTAGGTACTTTTCTAAAGTCTACAGCAAGATAGTATTAGGTGGACCGGAAAGTTATGTCGTTTGTTTACATTAAATTCAAACAGATAAATATGCGCAGAAACGACGTTACTTTCCGGTCCCCCTAATACTTATTCAGTTGACATTTTGTTCAGAAAATTGTACAGAGATCGTTATAAAATCGAAGCTCTTACGTAGTACAGAACGGTAGCAATACGGTTGCCGGTTCCCAGACTCTTGAACGCATTCGTTTCTTCTTTCTGGACATAAGGCATAAATTCAGTGTTGGAGAGGAAATGATTCTTGAGAGAATAATTTAAGAGAGAACGGTCTGCTCACCCTGGCAAAGTCAAAGTGTGGCTCGTAATGACCACCGATTCCGTAATTAACAACTTGCAATTCTTCCGCGGTGTCCACAGTTAAGCTCGTCATATGCTCGACACGTTTGCTAACAGCCTCTACGTGCTTATGTTCTTGTTCCTGCAGCCACGCGCTCTTACTAATCCTATAATTTGCTATCTCTAAGGCACCAGTTTTGTAGTTCTGCACTGTGGCGCGTTTAAACTGAAACCAGACCAGTCGACATATTTGTTAACCCCTTAAACGACTAGACCGTGACAATATGAAAATCTTGGCATGCCTTTAAAATTTAATCGCGTACAAATATTTTGCACGATATTTTGTTTTACTTATTTCTAAATTTTTTGTTGAATAAATACTGTGCTATTTGTACTTTNAACAGATAAATATGCGCAGAAACGACGTTACTTTCCGGTCCCCCTAATACTTATTCAGTTGACATTTTGTTCAGAAAATTGTACAGAGATCGTTATAAAATCGAAGCTCTTACGTAGTACAGAACGGTAGCAATACGGTTGCCGGTTCCCAGACTCTTGAACGCATTCGTTTCTTCTTTCTGGACATAAGGCATAAATTCAGTGTTGGAGAGGAAATGATTCTTGAGAGAATAATTTAAGAGAGAACGGTCTGCTCACCCTGGCAAAGTCAAAGTGTGGCTCGTAATGACCACCGATTCCGTAATTAACAACTTGCAATTCTTCCGCGGTGTCCACAGTTAAGCTCGTCATATGCTCGACACGTTTGCTAACAGCCTCTACGTGCTTATGTTCTTGTTCCTGCAGCCACGCGCTCTTACTAATCCTATAATTTGCTATCTCTAAGGCACCAGTTTTGTAGTTCTGCACTGTGGCGCGTTTAAACTGAAACCAGACCAGTCGACATATTTGTTAACCCCTTAAACGACTAGACCGTGACAATATGAAAATCTTGGCATGCCTTTAAAATTTAATCGCGTACAAATATTTTGCACGATATTTTGTTTTACTTATTTCTAAATTTTTTGTTGAATAAATACTGTGCTATTTGTACTTTTCTGATTATGGACCGATTTTCTGACCGGATTCTTGAATTTTTGGGGATCACTTAAAGAGTTAAACATTTTTTAATGATTTTTCAATCATTTTCGAAACAGCTCTAAGTTACTTCAAGGTTGTAAGAAGTTAAGATTCTAGATTTGTTAGACACTATAAAATCGATTTGAAAAAATCGTTCCTTGTAACATTTCAGAAACCAATTCAGTGGATTAGAATCATAGTGGCGTAAGTTACATTTTTCTCATTGTGAGAAACAAGGAGTGTTATTGTTTACTACCATGTGTATTGTTTGCCGATCAAATTTATTGTCAAGATAATTTAGAATTAAGTTAATTTATAATAACTTTAGAATTCGTTTCACTTGTATTTTTAACATTTTGGCATGTACATTAGATTACCTTTTCAGACATAAGTTACAATTTTTGAGAATGTGACTTACGCCACTCAATTGAGCATCGTCGGAAATAATTCGAGATTTCTTTTCGAAAGAACTCGGGGGTAAAAATTGCTTCAAGGCCGATCGAAGGCTGCAGGTTATTGTAAACATCGTATGAACGTTTATTACCCTGGGCTGCGCCAATCTTTTGATCGTCTCGATCTCCTCGTCGTAAATCACGTTATGGTAAATCACTATCCTCGGGTCCAGATACGCTTCCTCCTCTTTGAGCGGCGCGATCTTCAGGAACGGGATTCCACGGTCGACGTATCGGCACATTAGGTTCTTCTTCATGGCCGGTGTGATCGAGACCTCGCCACGGCACAGCATCTCGTAACGCTCCCTTTCCGACAACTCATCCCACGATTTTGCTTTCTCCTCGTTAACGGTGAAGTGCTGAGAAACGGGCAAAACAATGTGAATCCATTTTCGGAACTTCAGCGATTTACGCATCTTATAGCAAATATATCATTCCGCTCGTATATCAAGAAATTATGCCAACTTTTCAGTCTTGTCGAGACAAGAAAAAATATCAACGAATAAACATACTAATTGAAAATATTAAATAAATTGCAAATATTATAAAAATAAAGTATATTATATCTTGAAATTTTGCAAAATCCAATAAAGAAAATCTTTCCACTGTTGTAATTAAATTAAAAATAATTAAAAATAATCTGACTTCGTAAGAAACTGATTGAGCAGTAGAACGAGTAGATTCTAATGTCGAATCCAGATTGTCTATAGTATTCTAATTTAAACTGAAATTAATTCATTTGTCTCAAAAGAAAAACTGTGAGCTAGGTTTGGTGTTAAAAAACCCTTAGTTAGCAAAGTTCTCGAAGCAAAATTCAGCAAAATGGAAAAACTAGAAAAAATGAATATCGAAAAATGGAGTATTGTCTGACCTGCTCAGGGATCGCAGTGTCCTCCTGCTCGTCCTCCCCGCGTTTCTTCTTCGACTGGTTCGCCTTGCTCTGAATTTCCTTCTGGTAATAAGCCCGGTTGCCCAAAGCTCGCTCGTGCGTCGGCACCAGTTCCAAAAGCTCGTTCGTCATGCTTAAAGCTCGCGCCACGTTCCCTGCACAATAGAATTAATTTCATTAGCAAATCGCGTTACAACCCGGAGGAAACGCCGCCATCTTACCGAACTCGATCTATTAAATTCACTCGCACGGCGCGGCGCCGCGGCGGAACGGTATTATTAACAAACGACTACTCGTGTAACTCCGTGATTTACTGGGCTCCCTGCGGGGTTAACCGTCAGCGGTTTGAATCTCGAAGATTTCCTGGGCCAATCGGAATCGCGATGCGTTCGGTGGCAAAGTTTTAATGGAGCTTTAAACAAACTGAAGCCTCGGACCGAAGTTCCGCAGTCGCGGCGCGGCGCGGCGCGGCCCGCTCGCGACGGAAATTTTCATGGCAATTAAATTCTCTAAGAGATCTCCTCGAGCACTCTGTTTTGTACACTTAGCGCTTTGTTCGAGCTTTCAAGTGTCTTCGAGATTTTAATACTTCTAAGGAGTTCGCGTTATGACCACCGTATCAGGCTTCACGATATTAGTTCGCCGAACTATAATGAAAAATAATTCCGTTGCCCGTTAATACCTAGTTGCAAATTGAATTCGACGATTGCAATCGAAATTTTCAGATTCCAGCCGGAGACTGTCTCGTAATTTGGCAACCAAGTCTTGTTATTCAACCCTTTGTGTCAGTATTTATTTTTAAACCAAGTTTTAAAATAATTTAGGATTTCTTTTTTTTTGTTGAGCAATTTTAATCTCTGTAAAGAGATTATTCTGCAAATCCAGATATATATGTATACATAAAATATAGTCGTTACAACCTTGCTATATATTTTGTTAAATACGTACTGCGATGCTGACGTAATTACACTTATTGCTAAGTTTCATACTACTTTATATTATTATATTTAAATTTATATTTTAATATAATTATACTATTTATAATTATAATTAATATAATTTATATTTAGATTATCATATTTTTAAAACTGTCTTTAATTTGATTCTGTCTATTAGGGAAATTAACCCCTCAACCGTGGACATCGCGGAATTCGCGTTCCAAATATTCTCCAAAATATAACAAAAAGCCGAAATTTAAAAAATTTTAATCTTGAAAGATTTGTTATCTTCTTTTGTTTTCCTTTCCATATCTTTCTAAATGCGATTCTAATTAGAGGGTTAAGTACAAAGAAGTGCGAATCAACGCAGTCAAGAAAGGAATTGCAGTACACGGATTCAAGTTACGGATTCGAAGGAAATCAATATGCTCGACGAGCTTCGAATTCGAATGGCGCAGTTAAGATTCGAATTAGAATATATAGCTTTGAGAAACGAGGTGCACAGTTTCTGGGACGCGTTCGAGGACAATAATAAAACGGCGCGCGGTCTCTATATTTCGCAGTCGCGAAATAACAGCCGCGGATGTGCGAGCAATTTAGTTCCTAATTTATAATGCGCGACTTTTATGAGGCTGCGGAATTTTTGCCCGGTTCCAGGGGTCGCAAATCCTCGGCCACGCGACGCCCGCGACCCGCAAACAATTGTTATTTTAATTCGCCGGCCGAACTTCCTCGGCATACAAAATCGCGAAACTTAAATCATTTGCATAATTCGCCGGACACGTTTGTTCGCTTAGTTTCGGAATAAAACGTAGCCCGCAAGTCTCCTGTTGCATTTACAGTCGCTACATGCGTTCCCGGTTCAACGACAGAATTCCAATTCGACCGTTAGCGGAACGTTACAGAAATATCCGCGGGAAGTTAGACCCTTCTAACTATCGGTCCCGAGCTCTCGCGGTCCAGCACCCAGACGAAAACTTGCCCAACGCCCGTCGGAAAACCGTATTTATATTTAATCGTCCCGGGGTCGCGTCTGAAATCGACCGTTGCAATTCAAATTTACACCTAACCGTCGATGTTTGAAATTGAATTCCGCCGCGCCAACAATTCAAACTTACATATAACCGGCAGCGTTTCAAACTCAATTGCACCGGTGACGTTTAAACTTGCTTTCGTTCGTTAATATTTTAATTCGAACTCGGTCGTCGCGATTCAAATCCGTGCCCCCCGGCCCCCTCCGTTTAAATTTCAATATCGCCGCCGTATTCAAATTTATATTGCACCGAGAATTCGACCGTTAAGCTTCAATTTATATTTGACCGACGGCATTTAAATTTGAATGTGCTCGTTGTCGTTAAAGATTACGCGGCCGCCGTTAGAATTTCCATTTCCGTTTCACCGGAGTTCGATCTTCGCAGTCATCATTGACCAGTTAGCACGTTGCAATCTCTTTGAGAAAGCGTACACGCGTGGATGTTCTAACGTGGAATGAAATTGCAACGCGAAATGACTGTTTTTAATTTTGTTGATTTTGTTGATTTTGCATTTTTTTGCCATTTTTTCATGCCGAGTATACTCGTCAAAAATGGCTAACTCTAGTTAAAATCGAAATCTATGAAATCTGTGTTTGAGTTTCGATATAAATTCGACATAAATTCGTCGAACTTCGAATAAACACGAATGACTTTTGAAATTGAGACCAACTTCTTCGGTAAATATAAATGTTCTTTCTCGTGTAGGAATTCATTCGAGAGACAGACGAGTGCAAATCAGCGTAGCTGCGAAAGAAATCACATCGCGAGGGGTAAAAATACAAACCTTGCATGTACGTCGAGAAGGCTAGATATTCCAAGATATCCGGTTTCGAAGTGCTGGTAGCATTCTGCTCTTCTTGAAGTCGATCCATGGCTTCCTGCATCCACAGCACCGTGTGATAGTAATCGCGATTGTGATAGGACTGTCGTCCGAGCTCGAAGCAATCGCTGGCTGCAAAATAAAAAAGAAGAGCTGCTTAATTATAATACATCGCCAGATTTCCATCTCGGTTCATTTCTACGGATAAATCGTTTCGATCTCGCTTCTGTTGTCATTTCATAATGAATAAACACACTTTGTACTTGGCTGCTTGAGCGGGAAGAAGGACATTAACACAAAAACGCGTTTCACGCGAGACTCGGTACATATTGCCTCGTTTGTTGTTCCGCCTAATTACAACTACATGACCCCGATCGGTATACGCAGGAACTATCTACGCTTCAACGGCGAGTTTACACTGTAATAATCGGTGCCCGAAATTCGAAATGCGTGTCCATTAATCATCCACGCCGTCCCATATGAAAATTTCAAGCTGAAACGTAGGAACGAAACTTTCGGTAAATTTATTCCGCGATTTCGACTTTATTTTTCCAGGAACGGTCGTCTAGCTCTCTTGATTGTCCCGCGACTCTGAGCCCACCCTGTATAATTCATGACTCGATTATCATAATTACATTCGTAATAACCTGGTGGAGCGAGAAGCGTCGGAAATCTGAAAGTTAAAATTGAAAAACGGGACGGACGCCGCGCTGGATTTTTCGAACGCCGGCTACTGGATCGGATCCGACCGATCCAGAACTTTCGCCGGAAGTTTAAAGGTTTTTCATCGTCTTATTATGTATTCTAACTGGCCCCCCCAGACCATAGAACTTCGCCGGTGTTTCTACTTTATGCGTTTCCCCCGGCCGCGGCGCGGCGGTTTCGCCGAACTTGCTTCGTTAATTAATTTCTTCGCGTTTTTTCGTCACTCGAACACTTTAACCCGATACCCGTCCCGCCATCAATTATCCCGTGAAAAACTCTTCGATCTATCGCGGAGCCGTTACTTTTTGTTTTCGATGGCGATTTTTTATTTCGAAGTGGGAATCTTTATAGGTAACAAAGTTGAACGGCGATCGATTATTTTGCGATTACTTTTGTCATTGATTATGAAAAGTAATCAATGGGTTGCGCACTTTGCATTTTGACATTTTATAGAGAGTAACAAATGTAATTAATTTTAGTTTTAATTCGAGGATCTTCTCTTTGTCATACCGACTCACGGAGTCATCAGAAAAAACGACAGTAAATTCTCCCTAATTGGCGCTGAGAATATGCACAAAAATGGACAGATATGATTATTCGAGCCTTGCGGCTCGTTTTTATAGTTGTTAACAATCGATAATTATAAAAACGAGTCGCAAGGCTCGAATAATCGTATTTTTTCTTGCCAAATTGTCCACTTTCGTGCACAATCTGAGCGCGAATTAAAGCAAATTTATTGCACCTAGAATATATTATGAGTGGAAACTTGGACGATGAAGAACAATAAAATATGGAATGCTATAAATGCAAAAAAAGCAATTTGATTCTACGATCTATATGACCTATGACCAATGATCGTTGTGAGCCGCAAGGCTCGATTAATCGTATCTGTCCATTTTTATGCCCAATCTGAGCGCGAATTAGAGAGAATTCACCGCATAATTTTGGATTCGAGAAGCTCCGACAGGTTCTCGCATCGAAGTGAAAGCGAATTTTGTTCGATATAAAAGTTCAAAAATTGACGTATCTGACCGCGAACGATCGTTTCCCAGACTATCGTGCAACGAGCATAATCTAAATTTAAACTCGCCGGTCCCAGAACGAAGGCGGACGAAAACGAAGCTGAACGAAAAACTAAATGGACCGTGACTTCCACTGCAGTATTACCTTCGCTCTCTTCCCTGTCGCTCAGTTTGAAAAAAAAAGAGAACAGCGGCCGCTGGAGGAGCATTAATTACGTATATATCAGGTAAATAATTCCGGGGAACATTCAATATTCATCGACCTCTCTTTCGCCGGCTGTGAATAATGCACGCGCGGGATAAAAAAGAATCACTTTCTTGCTTCCAGAGGGTAAAAAGCGAAAGCCCCCGTGTATTAGTCGGAAAAGCTGGGCGAAGAGAGACAGAAGGGGAAAAGATGGACGGAGGGGTGTGCGCGGGGTGCGGCGGACGGCGACGTCAGAAGTTGCGAATTGCTGCGGCAGCGTCGGACGTGCAAAATCAGGGTGGCCGAGTCGCGCGGAAACGAGGACAGGATGCTGATAAAGGAAATCGCGTAAATTATTCATATCAGGGATCTTTAAGCACAGGTAACATCGGCCGGGCGGCGAACGGGGTCGGGGAACGAAGAACGGCGAGGGTTAGGGGCCAATATTCCTGTCGATTCGCAACGTTTTGCCTGGCGCACCCCTTCCCTCCCCCTCGCCGCCCACGTTAAACCCGCATAAATAATTCAGCACGAAAAAGCAGCGCGGCAAAGCTTTCGCGCTCCTTCCACGACGACGTTCCTCCTCTGTTCCTTCCTTCGCCGTGGCTAGACCAGACCCGGTAACAAGATGCGGATGCGCTGTAACGAACCGTTCCTTTTTCACCCACTTTGCATTCCCTGTGTTGCATTTCTGTTTTTCCTTTCTTAACGCCGTTTCGGGGGGAGATCGGGAAGACAGGAAGCTCACGGAGTCTGTAATTGCGGCCCCGAAAAAGGAACGGCTTCTGGATTATTTGGAACACGAGCCTCTCTCCTCTGTCCGGAGTAAATTAANGCCAAATTGTCCACTTTCGTGCACAATCTGAGCGCGAATTAAAGCAAATTTATTGCACCTAGAATATATTATGAGTGGAAACTTGGACGATGAAGAACAATAAAATATGGAATGCTATAAATGCAAAAAAAGCAATTTGATTCTACGATCTATATGACCTATGACCAATGATCGTTGTGAGCCGCAAGGCTCGATTAATCGTATCTGTCCATTTTTATGCCCAATCTGAGCGCGAATTAGAGAGAATTCACCGCATAATTTTGGATTCGAGAAGCTCCGACAGGTTCTCGCATCGAAGTGAAAGCGAATTTTGTTCGATATAAAAGTTCAAAAATTGACGTATCTGACCGCGAACGATCGTTTCCCAGACTATCGTGCAACGAGCATAATCTAAATTTAAACTCGCCGGTCCCAGAACGAAGGCGGACGAAAACGAAGCTGAACGAAAAACTAAATGGACCGTGACTTCCACTGCAGTATTACCTTCGCTCTCTTCCCTGTCGCTCAGTTTGAAAAAAAAAGAGAACAGCGGCCGCTGGAGGAGCATTAATTACGTATATATCAGGTAAATAATTCCGGGGAACATTCAATATTCATCGACCTCTCTTTCGCCGGCTGTGAATAATGCACGCGCGGGATAAAAAAGAATCACTTTCTTGCTTCCAGAGGGTAAAAAGCGAAAGCCCCCGTGTATTAGTCGGAAAAGCTGGGCGAAGAGAGACAGAAGGGGAAAAGATGGACGGAGGGGTGTGCGCGGGGTGCGGCGGACGGCGACGTCAGAAGTTGCGAATTGCTGCGGCAGCGTCGGACGTGCAAAATCAGGGTGGCCGAGTCGCGCGGAAACGAGGACAGGATGCTGATAAAGGAAATCGCGTAAATTATTCATATCAGGGATCTTTAAGCACAGGTAACATCGGCCGGGCGGCGAACGGGGTCGGGGAACGAAGAACGGCGAGGGTTAGGGGCCAATATTCCTGTCGATTCGCAACGTTTTGCCTGGCGCACCCCTTCCCTCCCCCTCGCCGCCCACGTTAAACCCGCATAAATAATTCAGCACGAAAAAGCAGCGCGGCAAAGCTTTCGCGCTCCTTCCACGACGACGTTCCTCCTCTGTTCCTTCCTTCGCCGTGGCTAGACCAGACCCGGTAACAAGATGCGGATGCGCTGTAACGAACCGTTCCTTTTTCACCCACTTTGCATTCCCTGTGTTGCATTTCTGTTTTTCCTTTCTTAACGCCGTTTCGGGGGGAGATCGGGAAGACAGGAAGCTCACGGAGTCTGTAATTGCGGCCCCGAAAAAGGAACGGCTTCTGGATTATTTGGAACACGAGCCTCTCTCCTCTGTCCGGAGTAAATTAAAATTGAATTTCCGGCCGAGTTTCGGGGAGGAGTTTAGAAGAGGCTGTGTGTGTTCTTTGTTCGGAAGACACGCGAGAGTTTAACCGGTTAGCTGTTTTTTTTGACGAGTACACCCGTCGTAACGGAAAAGCTTTTAGTAGTTAGCTCTTCAGCTAACTGGTTTCTTTCATAATTGCAGCATAATTGCGCACAAAAAAAATCGGATGCACGTTTATGCTTCAACGGAGTGGCGTATCTTTGTTCGTGAAAATTAACGTATTATTGCATAAGGGTATTCAATTAATTGCCAGATCATGTTAATATATATTGAATGATAAAATTAATATTCAATTGGTGTGCCGGTTTAATCAATTAAACAGATTTGCTGAAAATTGATTGTAACTTAATAATGGTGTAAATGTTAAAATTGTGATTGATATAAATGAAGCAATTACTTCTCGAAATTTATTTGGGATTACTCGTAAAATTGTGTTAGCGAATAAAAAAGATATCGTTCGGATTTAATATGTCCCGGTGTAATTATTGGATTCCATGAAATAAAATTATCAGGAGCTGATAAAATACGTGGATATTTTATAATAATAATAATAATAATAAACGTTAATAAAATCGAATGATATCCAAAAATATCTTCAATAACGAAATAAGGATTAAATATGATTAAATAATATTTATCGCTTATTTCTAATAGGTTACTAGAGTCTATCGAGTGTAAAAAAATAGATGAATAATTACTAATAATAAATTAAAAAACTGTTAAAAGTGCAACTGTTGTCAAATATATTACTTTGAATTTAGAGTTAAAATAGCTGCGAGTGGAACGGGTTAAAAAGCAAGTACACAAAAGTTAGATTTCGAAGGACTCCGGTTTTCTGATAAATAATTAAAAGCTGAAGTAAAAGTTGGCATCGTGTAGGTAGCAATTGGCACGGGTCTAGCTAGAGGGAGAGGAAGCAGTGGTTTATAGCCAGATTTGTTTCGGCCTGGGCATGGAAGAAGAGAAGATTATTTACGAACCCGTTAATCCGGTGCTGTACTGGACTCCATTCAGCACGCCCCTGGCGACTTGTGCAGTTTCGAGTTTGTAAGTGTCCTGGAGCCTCATCAGAGCAACGGCCGCGCCATTAAGGTCCTCGTCAGTTGGGAATTTCAGGTCGCTCCGCGAGCTGGTGATGTTCGCGACGAACGACTTGCCCACGTCCTGGGTGATCAGCTCCTCGACTCGTTTCCAGTCGGTGGTCAGCCTTTTTACCAGCAGATAAGCGTTGATTGGATTCGACAGGTACTGCTGAATGTTTCTCGAGGCTTCCTCGTGCTCCCTGGCGTAATCCTCCACGTTCCTAGAACAACGAAACAGCACTTTGGTCTTCCTCTATGTCCAAGTCGCGCGAGCCTTCTCTTTTTCTTCTGGGAATACGACTCCCTTTCTATATCCACTTCAAGAAGAACAGTAATTTGAGACTCTGGGACAAAAGCTTCGCTAACATTCGAAAGAAAATGGAGGACAGAAGTAGCCGGTTTTTCACTTCCCGATGATTTCCCAACCGCGGGGCGTTTCTCTTGAAAAAGCCTCGTTGTAAAATCGGCTCTCGTTTTTACGACTGGACCAGAATCAAAATTTTTGCGCATCAATTGCAAAGAACAGGATTCAAATTCAAGTCTCTTTCTTTTCTTGGCCATTTTAATAAGCCGGAAATATCGCATTGATATTCTTTAATTTCTCTTCGATCCATTTATTCTTTGAAATTGCGCTTGCTTATTTTTGTGAAAAATGCGTAGAATTCGCGGTCTATTTACGACTTTAATTTGTCGACTTCAAAGGGAGGGGCTTACTATGTAAATTTTTGCGCTGAATTAACGTACTACACTTTTAGTCGGCGACGAGAAAGTAAGGAAATAACGAAACTAAATTAGACGTGTAAGAGATGTCTCGTTGAATTGTAGATTTTGAATATTTTAAAATATATTTTACAGTGCTACGAATATTTCACTCGGAAAACTAGATTACGTATCGAAGACTTAAATCATGATAAAAATGAACAATTTATCCTGATCTTTTCTTATGTACATAGATGATCAAATTATATGCTTGCACGAAGTATATCGCTGCTTCTGAAATAAAATGTGCAGTGCTGATGTCGTTAATACGTCGATATTCGTTTACAGAAGGATAACAACAAAGATCTAGTCTTATAAATTTGACTGCGGATTTTATGCATTTATGACAAAAATAAGTATTTGTAATGTCAAATAGTGGAAAGATTACAAACATGCAAGAATGTCAATATATTGTTTTCGAACTACTAAAATTATTAAGGAGAATATGCAACTTTTGCTCGTATTTCCAAGAAGTTACTTCTATCTTTGGCAACAGGTGTAGACGATTTTTATTTTGCATAAAGATCCGCGGTTTACTCATAAATAATTGTTTTAGAACGTTCTCTCTTTGCGCAATCGATATTCCATCTGTAGAGAAAGCGGCGGTCTCGCGACGAGCATGGAGCTCCTTTCTCTCCTAACGAGTTATTTAACGATGAAGTAATTATGACAAGCGCAGTCGCGCGCCAGCTATGGTGGAGTAAAGAAAGAAAAAAACGGAAAGAGGACAAGAGTCAAGACCAATCGAACTGCTGATTTCAACATAATAATACTGCAACGGTATATAAAGAGCAGACTTGACAGTATAATGAAACGGTCGCTTTTCAATTGTCGATTGAGAAACGGAAATATTAATTGTTACTTTCCATGTATATCGCAGAGAGACTGTCAAAGGCATCGCGAACGGTATTAAAATCATAATTAATGCATCGGCATAGCAACGATCCGCGTGCTCGAGGAACAACATCGCATAAAAATGCAGAGCCGCCGCAATCAGTGGACGGGGATGATAAATAATTTAATGCTGTTTAATGCTGTCCAGGCAATCGTAGCAAGTTCCGTTCGGTGTTTCCCGGCGCTCGAGAGATTTCGCTATCTGTAACGCGGACGGGGACGAAGGAAATCCTCCGCTCCATGAAAATTTCGCAATAATTAAGCCGACGACGCGACGCGATACTTAATTAACGCGACAGTCACAGGAAACGCTGATTCGTATTCGCTGCCGCTGATTACCCTTTTATTAATTTTCGGGAATTCGGGACGCGCGAGAATCTACCCGAAACGACGAGTCGGGTCCCGGCGGGCGCCCGGTTTTTAATTTAATCCCCTAGTCGCCGCGGAAACGGGCTCGCACACCTTGCCCGCCCTCCTCTCTCTGTTCCTGTAATTCGGCAGATGTTGCACACGATCCAAAGGCCGTTGTCATTTTTCCTTTCCAAACAATGACCGTTCCTCATTTCGTGCCGTCTCCAACAGCGTTTACGTATTTATTCGCGCCGCTGCCGGGGGCGCGTTTAATTAATTCTACAATTTCGGAGCCAGGCAGGATTCTTCCAAAACGGAGCCCCTATACTCGTGCTTTGTCGCGTCCAATTTAATTTAACTCTCAATTCGAATTTTTTATTTCTTACTTGAACAATCGTTAAATATCGATTACGCGAGCTTTGCGTTGGACATTTAAAAAACGCGGAGCGTTGCTCGTGAAATGAATTTTACTGCGCCAAGAAACATTTTCCATTGAGATTCGAAAAATTCTAGGATCTGGCCTGAAAAACCGGCCAAAAGTCGAGTTAGGAAATATCGTAATCAAATTTTGACTTGTCACTTATCGATGATTTTTATAATTAGTGTCTTTGTAATCAGCGACGTTGTTCGAGTGTTAAAGTAAAATATTCACTTTTCTGTGAAAGTGAATATAAATAACATCGTTTCATCCCCAAGTACATACTTTTATATATTATTATTTATATTATAAATAAATATATAAAATAAATATATATATATATATTTATAGAATAATTTCGGTCAGCTTTTGAGACGAAATACTCCACCGTGCTCGAACGCTTCAATTTTTAAATGCATTTCAAACCGAACGCTTACAGATCCCGATTGACTTTGAATAACAGGACGCGCAAATTTCGCGAGACCTTAATCGAAGCGCGTCGACGAAAATGTTCATTCGTATCGGTTATAGTTTCGGCTGCGACGTCGAGCGCTCAAATCCGGCGCTGGAACTTCAATTTGCATTAGCCCGTCGGCATTTCAATCGAAACTAACGACCGCGATCGAGCGACGATCGATTCTTTTGTCCCTGATTTTCGAGGGCCTCTCGCGCCGGGAAACGTTTTCAGCGGCCGTACGTCGAAAGTTTGACGACCACCGCTATGGATCCGATTCCGCAGCGGAAAAGTTGTGTTGCGCCCGCGAATCCTACAACACCGCGAACTTTCCGGCGGTCAGCGGCGGAAAGTTGTCTGCTCCTCGAACAACACCGTTCGGAGATAGCTTTCTGTAGCCCGGGCATTGTTAAGAAGATAGGCTCTCCTTGCTTTTCTGGTAATTTCACTTACGAACTTCTCGAAAGTTCTCGATGTTGCGGCGCCCGCGATTACTCTTTTCGATCATGGATCATGGAAATTCGCGACCACTGTTTCGCTCTGAACCGTCTACAATTTCGGATACTTTTTCTGCAATTGACTGTTGACGGGAATCAGTGTGGACCATACTGTGCAAACATAATTTACTTTATATTAATATAGTAATTAATATAATATTTATGTGTTAATTACAAATTTTATATGCTCAATGTGTGAGAAGAGGCAACAAAAATTTTCCTGGGAAAGCGGAATTAGGTCTCGTATTATTACATACTTTTAGTTTTTACTTTTTCAGTAGACTTTCTTGAATAGATCGTAAAAGAATAATAATAATAAATTTTTAAACGTATATGTTCTTTTAATAGAAGTGCGTTTTATCGAAAATTATGATTTATTTTAAAAATGGGTCTCATATTAAGCACCCTTACTCTAGCTTCACGAATTCAATATAATTATGCAGATTAGTTTACATCCTTTTCATCTTTTAAAAATCATAATTTTCGATGAAACACACTATTTTTAAAAGTACGCGTACGTTCAAAAACTGAACTACGTGTTCTTTTACGATTTATTAAAAAAAAGTCCACTGAAAAAGGGAGAAAACTAAAAGTATGTAATAATTCGAGAATTCAGCTTTTCTAGGCAAACTTAGGTTGCCTCTTCTCGCTCATTGAGCATATAAAACCCGTGTTTTTTTAAAGAGCAACCGCCTGTGCAAAACAAATATTCCGCGTCCTAATTAGAAATGTAAGCGAAGTCCATCTCTGGGCCGCAAGGCCGAAATTTGACGACTCGACAGAAAGAACCCTAAAATTCTATAGAACTTTTCCTGACGAATTCCTCGCGCATTTGTCTGCGAATAAAAGGGGCGAAGATTCAAGATAAGCAGAGAACCGCTCAATCTCCCAGCAGATTGTCAACGCGGAGCCGTCCGGAAGCAGGATCGAATCCTCCCGAATGGAGCATCGAAAAAGAGTGCCGTGGAACCCTCGTCAGCACGATCGGTGGGTACGTGTCCGATCGTGAAAGCCGCCCCCTCGAAACAGCCCCGAAAAACAGCTGAGAAGGGGATTGCCACGTAATCCCGGGAGTCGGTCAATTATTCCGTGACACTTGTAAGTGCGGTGATCAACGTGGAGAGGAATGCCGGGCGTGGGTGGGCGGTTTTCGACGCCGGAAGCAAAACGTGCCGGAGGTGTTCGAGTACGTGTCGCGGCGGATGCGGATCCTCGCGGAAGATCGCGGCCCGGTTGAATCAAGATTTAATCGAATAATTCTGTTGGGATCTAATGGCGGGGAATAATTTATCGGGGAACGGGAGTCGAGCTTTCCTAGATTATTAAGCCAACCGGCTCGGTCTCCCCAGGTTCGAGGGCTCTACGCTCTCTGCTCCGCTCTGCTCCGCTCTGCTCCCCAGTTCTGGGATTGGCCACGACAACGCCAATTTCAGCCGGAGCCGCGAACACCGCGAACTACTTAGCCAAGCGACACGTCCGTCATCTACCCGTGCAGATTACGTTGATTTATCGTAATTTACGATCCGCCGGAGAGAAGCAGAGGGCAAGAGAGAGAGAGAGAGAGAGAGAGAGAGAGAGAGAGAGGGCGAGAGAGAGAGAGAGAGAGAGGGCGAGAGGGCAACCGCCTCGGCGACGTTACCAGAGGGCCATTATCGTCCCGCGTCGATTGTCGAGCCGTTATGAAAGGATCAACCGACTGTCTGCGACCCGGCGACTCCCAACTGCCACCGGATTGCTCTTCCGAATGTCGTCGGATCGTTAATTAGTCGGTCCATGCTCCGGCAAATGTGTATTACCGCTGTGCAGATCCCGGGAAATGATAATTATTACATGGAAATACTGTCAGCT